ATTAGATGAACACCACCACCCTGGGAAGAGGACTAAGAGGGGGCAAAAGTTGGGGGCAGAGATGGTGGGAGGAAATCCCAGAAGAGAAATTTGGCTTTAGTGGAAGCTCTATTTGAAATTTCGGTAATTCTTGGTGGAAATTCCAGGCCCCCAGGGGCTTCTTGGCTGCATGACTTATTCCCCTTGACTTTGTAAGGGGAATGGTATATTTCACCTTTGTGCACAATCTCAATTACCCAGAGCAAAGTCTCCTAATGAAATCTAATTGAGACAGCAACATAAGCCAGGGCACTCAGAAGCTGGCTTTCGCCTGGGGGAGGAAAAATTTGTCTTCTTCAGCTTGGGGGTGGGTGGGGGCAGTCTTGGACTCTGTGATCCTCACACCCCTCAAGTTTGAGATTTGGGAAGTCTCCCTGAACCAGAATCCAGGACTTAGGATTTAAACCATATAAAGCAAGGTTTCCTAGGTTGTAAATCTTCCCATTTGACTGAAGCAATTGAGGTATATATATATGACAGCTCGACTGCACCTATGAAATTGAAATTTCTGGGCCAGGCCTGTAAGAGACTCTCGGGGACAGTGACTGTAGGGTGACTAATCCACTGTCACCCTCAGCTGTGAAAAATGCTCTAATACTAAGCTGATGTTGAAGGCTGCCATGGAGGCTCCTCTAAACCTTCTCCTCCCTTGCTTCAGCCTGTGCTTTCTAGCCCTAACACAGGTTTTGTGACCCCCCTATCTCCAAACCTCAGCCTCCTTTCTTCTCAGGCGTCTCATCTCCCTCCATCTTTCCTTTTTCCTGTGATTTCCCCCACACTTTCCTTTTGTAGTCCTCAATCTCCCACTGAATTACAGCACTGCATGCCCTGGAATGGGGAGGTGGGGGTGCCGCAGCGCCAGCTCCTCTCAGATGTCCTGCCTTTACTGGCTGAGTGCTGTCAACAGGTGACAGTGGCCCCGCACTGCACACTCTTGGCCTTGGGAGAACTAAGTCACTAGGCTGCTTACTGGGGCTTCTCTGCCATGTGAATTCACTAGCACCAGTATCGGGGATCTTGGGGGAAAAAACACAAGATTTAAAGAAAACAAACATCAGTAAAATTCATCTTATATATAGCCTTGTAATATGTAGCCCCCCCAAAGGTTAAAATACAGAACAAAAATGGTATGTTAAATCACTTAATTTGACATACATTAGTTTTTCTTAAACACTTAAAAAATCTCATGCATTTGCAACAGAGGTAAGATTGGTTTGGGGGGCAGTGCAAAAAAACCTTAGCTATTCCGAGAGCCCACAGTAGAGAGGCAGATACACGGTGTGTTTCTGAATCTGTGGTATTCACATTTCATGAGTCAGGACTAATTCAGAAAAAAATGTCTGAAAAAGCTCCTGGGAGGAAGCGATTAATGAAGGGGGAAAAAGGTTGAAAGAAAACTGGTTTATCTTAACTAGCTGCAGCCTCTGAGCCAATTTTTCAGGTCAGTCCTCATCAGGGCACTTGTAAGTGTTACTAGAACATATAACTCAGCACTTGTGGTCAGTTTGACGGAGCATTTGTCTGCTCTCTCCCCAAACGGTAGGCATCTCCAGGCTGCCTGCCCCCACCCTGAAGAGCCTATCTTCTGACCCTGTGATGAAGGAGGGCAGATGAGAAAACAGCACACCTAAAACAAACTAACTCTTAAGCGTAACAGCTGCTCTTCAGAAGGCCGTTCACCACCACCCCCCATCCTTGTTAGTAAGAGGTTGTGGTGGGATTAGGAATTCCCTAACCTGTCTGCCTCAGTTCTCTAAATCCTATGTATGAATTTTTTTTTTCTGACTTGCTTCTACACCATTTTTGCCCCCAACGCAAAACCAGATTTGAGAAAATCAAATTAGACAAACACAAAACAGAAAGATTTCTTCACAACTGGTGTTTTTATTTTATCAGCCTTTATTTATTTATTTATTTTTTGGCGGGGGAGGCTCCTTTAACATTAAAATCATTGATCTGAGTCAAATTGGGCAACTCTGGGCTTTACTCAGTCACCCTGTAGGTACTGGGAGCAGAAAGGGTGCTAGGACCTGCTTTTCACCTCCTTCATGTTCCACATGAAGAAACTGAGGCAAACACCTCTGGGCCTGACCTCAGGCAGGGCTGGGCAATGAGCCTGAGGTCTGACCCACCTGTCCAGCTCTGGGGCATCAGAATTTAGAAAACATTAATGGCAAACCCGAAGAACAGGATGAGGGATTCCAGCCCTCATTCTGAAACGGGATTAAAGATGTAATTTGAGAATCTCATTGCCTCTTTGCTGGACAATTTTTAAGGGAAGGGCAGTCCTTGAGTTGGCATATGACATCACTCTGGAAGCTTGATTTGATTCTAATGATTTGTTTGTAATTGGTCACCTTTCTGTTAAGAGACATGCTTTCCCAGCCACCAAGATTTTTGCTCAGTTTCCTCTCTGTAGCCTCCCTTTACATGAAGCGCAGTGATAATATAGAAAAACTGAGTAAAATCTATGCATTTTTTTTTAAACTTATTTCTTAACAACACTGAAGTTTCAGCTTCCTTCCTCATTAAACCTTCTATCACAGCTGCTAAAACTGAGGCTAAAGAGTAAAGGGGTGATAGCAGTTCCAGGGGAAAAGTTTTTAGTGCGTTAATAGACATTATCTGTGGGCTCTCGGAATAGCTAAGGTTTTTTTGTACTCCCCCCCCAAACCAATCTTACCTCTGTTGCAAATGCATGAGATTTTTTTTTTTTTAAGTGTTTAAGAAAAACTAATGTATGTCAAATTAAGTGATTTAACATACCATTTTTGTTCTGTATTTTAACCTTTGGGGGGGCTACATATTACAAATAGACTATTTAAGATAATAGACATTATCTTAAAACAATTCCAAACTTTAAAATTCCCAATTCCCAAATTCTGATAAACATTAAATGTTTTGTTTGCCAAACCTTAGAAGTAAACCTACATCAGACTGTTGACACCACACAGTATTTGAACACTGATGCATAATTTCCCAACTCAAGTTCAGCTAAAAGAACGCTTTTGTCCAAGAAAAAGCACATTTTTATTAAGCAAATGATTAATGTAGCAAAACAAAAAATCCTGGATATTGGAGCAGACCATTTAACCAGCTTTATTTGACTAGTTTTCCCCTCCTCTTCCTCTTTTCCTCTCCAGTCGACACCGTGTAACTGGCTGGTAATTCACCCCTGTGGTCAACTCTAAGGGCTGCTTTTTGGGAGCCAATTTCCTAAATTGCAAGGGCAAATAAGGCCATTCAAATGCTAATGTCTCGGTGCAGCCGAGCAAGACAAAGGGCTAGTTGGGAGACTAGAGAGTGGGGAATGCTTGGAGAACTTGCCAGAAATGCTTCTGGGAGAGAAAGGCAGCTAAACACCAGTGCCTTAGGTAGAAAGAGGGCTTTTTGAATCGTGTGTATAGCAAAAGCCCCTCTCCGTGGGGTGGGGGTCATCCTCACAGGGCTTTGGTAAGTTCCTCAGGTGTTCTGATTCTTTCTATTGACTCTTCCACCCTGGAATCAGGATGGAAGGAGGGAGGGGGTGGGGGAAGGGGACTGAGTGGGGGAGGGTAACAGGTTTTCTCAATCTGGGAGTTAATGGAGGAGTGTCTGAAAGAGGTGCGTTCCTGGAAGGGGGGACCCTGCCCCCCCCCCCCCGCCAGCTAACCTGGTACAATGCCTACAATTAAGAAAGCCACCCTCTCCCGTGCAGGCTTCTGTTTAAAAAAACAGCCCGAGATTGGGGTGACAGGTGTGGGCGTTGCACTGAGGACTTTTTTTTCAACTTGTATATGCTAAAGCAACATGCTAGTTTTTCTAATGCAAAACCCAGCTCTGCAGGAAAACGGTCCCCCTAGACTCTCCAACCTGGGAGGGCAGCCCCCACACTGAAAAACCACGGCATCCTGACCGCAGTCGCCTATTCACCAGAGACCTTTTACTGGGTGAGCTCAGGCTGCCAGGACATCACCAGAGAAAAAGCCAGCACTTTTCAATGCTTCTGATAGGAATACTGCGCCGCCGTTTTTACACTAAATAGAAATGTCAGCTTTGGGGAGCCCCATTTCACTTAGGCAGTTTAACGCTTTCAAGCCAAAGACGGGGCACGCGGGACCCGCCTCCAAGTCCTTGGCAGCCTCCAGACTTCTGGACACTTCCCCCGCTGCCCAGGGTAGCCCCCTCGCCGCTATTTACTAGTTAAGACCAGAACAGTATCCAAGAGCCATTAGTCAGCGCCGCAGCCCACCAGAGCTGTTTTGGGGCGGCGCGACGCCTTCCCCCGGGCGGAGACCTGGAAGGAAGATCCCTTAAGATATGTTCTGAATATAGACCGAAACCTTATTTTAGGAGTCTAAGAACCCGACCCGCCTTTTCAAGTCTCCAAACGCCTCACTTTCCCCCCAAATCCTTCTCATCAGAATAGCTCAAACCGGCACCAAACGAGACGCCCGCGCAACAAGAAAAGATCAATTTCCAAATCGGGGGAGGTTTTGTAAATACATTTTCACTAACTAGTCTTTCCCCCCAGGATTGGCGAGAAAGGCACACTTTACGCACCGAAGATGCGTTACCGGATTGCGGCTGTTTCTGTGCTCCAGCTTTGCCTTCAGGTTACAGATTCCAAACTTAGCCCCACCCGAGCCAAAAATGGCCGGTGCCCGCCGCCTGCCCTCCCCTCCCCGAGGCTGCCGGAGTCTCAGGCCCCTTCCTTCTCTCAACTAATCGCCCAGGGACTTGCGGCGGCTCCTACACCTTTCCCCAGCTCGGCGGGTGCTGCGCTCTTTCGGAATGCGCTCTTTGGCTATGCGCTCTTTGGGGGTGCGTTGTGGGGTTCCCTGATGATAGGCGCGACTCCGTCTCCAGCCTGTTTCTTGTTCCGCTTTACCTTTCCGCTCGCGACCACCTCGCTGACCTTTTAGCTACTATCTAACATCCCCAGGCAGCTGCGCAAAAAGCCCGGGACCTCTCCAGCCAAGATGTACCCAGTCTCACCACAGACCAGCTGCGCCAAAAGGTTGGCGATGCCGCGACACGACCACGTCTGCGCTCCCAACCCTGGTAGTCCGTCGGGCACCTCCCGAAACTCCCGTACCTCCTCTGCCTGCCCTCCAAGCACAGGTGATTCGTGGGGAACCGCCGGCTGGCTCGGGGAGGTCGGCTACGAGGCGCGCAGGCAGGTGCGCACGCTCTTTGCAGCGGTCTCTGGCCCCGCGAGCGCCCGGGGACGGGCGGTGGCGGCCAGAACTGGCGCACAGCCGCGAGGGGCACTGGCGCCGAGGTCCCGCGGCTCCAAATTGGCAGCGACGCGTCCTGGGCTCCAGGCTCCAAGTGCCTTAAGGGCCGCGCGCGCGCGAGACTTTCTGGGAGCGGGCAAGTCTCCGGAGTTCTCACCCAATCCCAGCCTGGTTACTTTTCTCACATTGCAACAGTGTCGCTACAGCGCGGCGGCTCTGCTTTGCGAAAGTTGGCGCGAGTACTTCCGAACCACGTTTTTGGCACCCGCCAAGGCCAACTGGTTTGAGACTAGTTTCTCTAGGAGGGAAAAATCACGTAAAATAAGTGACTTACCCGTGCCTTCTGGGTGTGCAGCTTGGAACGTGGGGTGCGCCCGGGATTCAGTCGCGCGTCCTGGACACCAGCTTGGAGACCTCTGGCTGTTTCCAGAGGGGCGCAAAGACGCCCCACTGTCCAACAAACCTCTGGCTGTTTCCAGAGGGGCGCAAAGACGCCCCACTGTCCAACAAGCGTGTGGCCCCCTGGGCGCCCACCAGCACCCTGGGGGAGACCTGGGGAGCCCTTCCGAGTTGGGCCCTGTGCCCCTGGCCCTCCCGGGCTGGCTCACCGAACCCGCTCTCTTCCCGCTTTCCCTCTAACCTGCCTCTCCTTTCCTTCCTCCCGCCGGTCCTGCACCAACCCCAGACTCCCCAGTTTAGCGGTGGGCAACTAACCTGGGTCAAAGAACACAAGGAGAATCCGGGGCGCGTCTTCCATTAGTGACGCCGGATGGGGATGGGCCCCCTTTTGGAAGGGGACTCGGGGGATGGGTTGCGGCGGGTGGGCTTCTTCGGCTTGCAGCGGCGCTGCTGCTGCTTCTCCTCCTCCTTTGGCTCCTCAGACTCTTCGGGGTCCCTCGGATCCTTGTCCTTGGGCTCCTCCCCTTGTCGGGGGCTCTCAGACTCCTGAGTGCTGGGCGGCGCACGAGCCGGGGAGGCGTCGGGGCTCCGCAGCCTCAGGGCGCTGAGGCGCTCGGTGAGAGATTGGTGGAAGGTGGGGCGCCTGGGCACCACGGGGCCCCGCTCGTCCTCGGGCTCGGTCTCCGGCTCAGTGGTGGGGGCGGTGTCAGACTCGGTCTCGAATTCGGTCTCGGACTCGATTTCAGACTCGGACTCGGATTCGTAGTCGAACTCTTCTTCCTGGTACTCTGGGCACTCGGGGAGGGAGGGCTCGAGGTCTATGTCCTCGTGGTCAGATTCAGGGGGCTCGGGAAATACCTGGGCGGGAGAGCGGTGGTGGGCGTTTAGGAAGCTCCGGCGCTGGGCAGCCGCGCGCTGCTGGGCGCGGGTGCTGGAGGTGGCAAGGGCGCGGAGGAGCGCGATGGAGCAGGAGAGCCAGAGGAGCGCGGTGGCTGCCCGGCGGCCTATGGGTGGGCACAGATCGTTGTAATTGTGGCGAGCTCGGCGCCCTGGCTGAAGTCGGGATCTACGATCCATCCTCACGCACACTCGGCGAATCCGACCCACCCTCTGGCTCTGCAGAGAGCAGCTCCGAAGCGCATCGGCCACTAGAGCCGACAAAGGTGCTCCTCGCGAGGGAAGAAGCTGGGTCCAGTGGTCCCAGCCCCACCTCGACTCGAGGGGAAAAAGGGAAGCACCTACCTTCCTGACCACTCAACTTTCTAAAGCTCCGCGCCTCTGCTTGCCTCTCTGGGCAGAAAGAAGGGATGGGAAAAAGAGTGGCAAAGTCCGTCTCCTCCGGGGCCCCTCTCTCTAAGTCTTAGACTCTGCAGCCTAAGACTCCGGAGAGGTGCCTCCGCTGGTCCTCTCGCCTGGGAGAGGAAAGAGGAGACTGAGGCGAAGACAGACGGGGCTGAGAGGTTCTGCAAAGTTGCGCGCCCGGACTTCTGCCGGGCATGTGCAGTAGGGAGGCGGGGGCGGCTCCTCGCGCGCTGCGCGGTGGCGCGGAGCCGAGGCTCAGACCCTAGTGGACCGGCAGGTGGCAGGAGGGAACCTTGTTTGAAAGGTTTTGGACGTCGCGAGCGGCTGGGGGACCAGGCGGGTGCCATGGAGTGAGCGAGCGAGCCAGCCAGCGAGCCACAGGTTAGAGTGTTTGCGCAGCGGGGCATGGGTTCTCCATGGGGTCCGGACCCCTCCCCAGCTTCTCTCGGGTTATTGAAAAATTCAACAAAGCCTGAAGCAGCTAAAAAATTTGCAGGTATTCTGGAGGAATGAGCATCTGTACGACCCTATTAACTATCCAGTCCAGGGCATTTTCCAAGGGCTTAATATTATAGTTGGAAAAGGGTAATCTCAGGCAATCATTAATCGTGAGACAACTTTGACAGATCTGGTCTAGAGACTGTAATTAGACGTTTCCAGTCCCCTCCCCAATGCGATCTGAAGCGACTAATTAATTACGGAATGGTTAGATAAGCATCTTCTCTAAGAAGAACGCTCACAGACAGACGAGGTGATGCTTTACACTTCCCCAAACCTGTTGGTGGGCCACCCTGAGCTCTAGATGAGGTCGCGAGCTTAAAGTGTCTCTTTGCCCAGAACATCCCTCAGGGAAGATCTGTGCTGATGTTCAGTACGTGCAAACCAGTTCGCCGCCCCTGGAGGGCGCTGCAGGGCGTCCGGCTATCAAGGAAACCGCCGGGTACCGTTCACAGCTCTTTTCACACGTTTTCAACAAAAAAGTGCAGTCATTCAACAAATATTGAATGCCTAGCTCTTGCCAACCTCTGTTCTAGGTGCTAAGGGTGGTAGAGTAGGAAGAAGAGGAAAGGAAAGGCAATCTTATATTAAGGAGAGAATCTTTAGGACTAACCTTAGGTTAATCAGAGCATTAGAGGACCCACTCCTTACCCATCAGCATTGTTTAATCCAGTGTGCAGTCTATGTGAGAAAATTTATTAGGTCAACCAGAGTATTAAGGCTAGAGGACAGCTAGACCCCCTAGGTCATATCGTTGAACCCCAAAGGAGATGAGACCATCCCCTAGGTCATATTGTTGAACCCCAAAGGAGATGAGACCATCTCTTGGCCCTGGAAAATCAAGAGAGCTCCATGTTCTCCTGGAGGGGGTCCCTGGAGTGGTCCTTACTCAGGAAAGGGTGGTACTTTGGAAGCTCGGGGGTTCCGGTTGCAACCTGACTGCTGCTTCTGCCCACCTCGTTCAAATATGGAGCATCACTTTTGCCCTAGTGACAGGTCCACCAGCGGTACGACTCAGCAAAACCATCTTCCTCAAGTCTGTGCAAGTACCAACAAGCTTCCAGGTGGCACAGGTGGCTTTTCTTGTCTTTGAGTCAATGTGGCGGAGACTTGAAGAGTCCATGAGGTGATTCTGTTTCTTTCCTTTCTTTCTTTATGGCTCTGCTGGGTCTTTATTCCTGCACTTGGACTTTCTTTGGTTGTGGGAAGCAGGGGCTTCTCATCTCGGTGGCTTCTATTGTTCAGTAGTTGTGGCACATTGGTTTAGTTCCTCCATGCCACGTGGGATCTTCCCAAACCAGGGACTGAACCCGCATCCCCTACATTGGCAGGTGGATTCTTAACCACGGGACCTTCAGGGTAGTCCCTCCTCTATGAGGTGATTCTGCTTCTACCGCAGAGTGGTAGTCCACAGTAGAATGCCCTGCATGCACAGAGGTTCCTCAGCATGGTGGAGCACACCCTCACCCCTGTCCTTCCACTTTCGCCCTAGAGGTGTCAAGCCCAGAGTTAAGACCTTAGTGAGATCCTAGCCACTGTTTTAGTGAGATCCTAGCCACTGTTTTGGACATGTGGAGGTTTTATATCTGCGTCTTGGCTGTGAATGGTCTTGAATGTTCCTGACCTGGCTTCTCGGCAGTGCCTGTCTTGTGTCTTGAGTTCATTGAGTTCGTTTGTAGCATTAAAATACTGATTGGTCTAATAAAGTGGAATCGATTTGCAAACTTCGTCAAAGGGCACATGTCTGCATTCTTGTTGTGCCCTCCTCCTCGGTCCAGAGCGACCAAAAGGGTTTTACTGTCACAGATGTCTGGATGGCACCAATCACACATGGATGTTATTACAGGACAGGGGAGCTCAGGGTCCTTTGGAGCTCTAGATCTCAAATCCTGGTCTCAGCCCTGCCTGGAGACATTTCCAAAGGTTCTGCTCACACTGACCCGTCTGCTTGCTTGCTTTCAACCAGTGCAGCACCCCCTGACAGTGAGTGGGACATAAAGACATCATTTGAGTGGTTCTCAGGGCACACTGGGAAAAAATCAGGCAGATGTGGGTGCTGCTGAATGCCCTTTCAATGGAGACAAATGTCAGCTGTCAGCAATGAGGGGATTATGATTCTTTAGTGGACATAAGAAAGTACTTCGTTTTGCAGAAGGAGTGCTTTCTGCCTGTAATGGAGATGGCAGCCCAGAGCCGATCCACTAATACAGATACACGAGATTGCCTGCATTATTAAAAAATGTGCATTACATAATAGGTAGTTTTGGACTACAGTCTGCATTAGACATGCACTTTCTTTGTAAGATGCATTTTAATCAACAAACGAACATTTAACAAAGCACCGCCTTTAGAGCCCCAGTCATGTATAGCTACAGGTACATTTCTGGCGTTCATTTGACACAGGCTCCGAGAGCAGGGGGACCACACTAAAATACTGTTCCATCTCACGCTTAGTGCCGAGGCCAAGCAAATGGCTCCGTGCAGAAAACGCTCTTTAAAATGCATTACGTGTATGACTTTAAAAGTGCTTGCTGCAGAGTGAATTTCAAAAAGGAGCAAGTGGTGATGAACGACCTCGGGTTGTTACCAGGCTAAGGAGCGAGGGGCTGTCTGTCTGCGGTAAATAAAGTGCAGATGTATATCACCTGCAGGGCTCGGCTAGACGGTGGCCCCTGAGCCCATAGGTTAGGGAAGTATAGTTCCCAGTTCATCGTGAAGAATATTGTCTCCAGCCCTTTACAGGATCATCCTGGGGAAGAGGCACTAAGATGTCTTTTATGTGGCTTGGGAGGGTAGAATTAGGACCTATGGGACACAGTTCCAACAGGCTGAGATGTCAGCTCAGCCCAAGGAAGAGTATTCGAACAGTTAGGACTGTGAGATGGAATGGCTGTCAGGAGGTGGTTGGCTCTTTGTCAGGAGCAGCATTAAATCAAAGGACAGAGGACCACATATTGGAGATGTTTTCCCCAGGACTCCTGAGCCGGGTGGAGTTAGAACCCCACGCTCACTGAGTTCTTTTCAAGTCAGAATCTGATTTCATGAAATGGGCCTGGAGGCCCTGGGAGAGGAGCTGGGGGCTCTATCAATGGACGTGTTCTTCCAGCTCGGCTTCTGTTTCAGAGGCATTTGAAAGTGCAAGTGGCTTAATGGCAGGAAAGAATGTCTGGGTGGCAGTTTCAGGACACAAGCAAACAGGTGTTAACCGGGGAGACTTGGCCAGTGGTGGTGGGGTACCTTTGGGAACCAAGGTGGGACTCTGGCTCTCTGCTCCACAACTCACTGGCAGAGAAATCAGCCGTCTCTCCATTCATTATATTGGGCCTCTTTGCCTCCCTGCCCTGAGCTGTCTGAGAAATTAAAAATGAAACTAGCTGTATAGCAATTGCACATTGAGTCCCTTCTGTGACCAGGACAGTCTTCCAGGCTTCATGGGGAGATGGAGGTGATGGAGAGGGGACCATCCCTGCCATCCGACAGCATGCACGTCAGTGGGAAATGCCCCCGATTAGAGAGTGGATTGCCAACAGGTGGCAAGTCCTCAATCCTTCCCAGATGGGCAAACCAGGGAGGGAAGCCGGCGGAAAGTGCTTATGTCAGGGAGTGTCCACCTGGTGGGTTTCTGCAGGAGGTGGGCTCTTTCCTTGTCCGACTTTGAGGCTTTCTTTTCTTTTCTCTTGTTTTGAAGCCCATTAGAAGGCTTTCAAGCCACGTGCCTACTGTGTGCAAAGCCCTGCTCTGGTCCCTCTGGGGAGACAGATGACTCACAGGAATTCTCAGAAGGCTTGCCGGGCCATTGTCACAGGTCCCCTCGACACCAGCTCATTTTCCAAGATGAGACAGAAGATAAAAGATTGGTTCTGCTCCTCCAGGCGAGTGGGTACAATCACTCTTGAACATATTTTTTGGACAATCATTCGAAAAGGTTATTTTTGAAGATGGAGAGCTTTTCAAACTTTCCTTTGGGTAGAAATGAATTCAGGGAGTTTGAAGTGCTCCCCACCCCTGACTGTGGCAATCAGCCAGAAGGCTCAACCCCTCCAGCCCTGGAAATTTGGCTTCAGCCCTCTTGCCTGCCCCCTACAGAGGTCTGGGTTTGTCTCGCTTCTCTGGGCACCATGTCACTTACTCAAGCGGTGCTGGCATCGATTGGCTCTCATCAGTAGAAAGGGTCACAGGTCCGGGCCCCTGGTTTTGTGATTTTGGGAGCACTCCCGTACAGAGCAGAAGCAGAGAACAGGAGGAAATCATCATCTTTTTGACCTGGCTGGCTTCTG